AAGATTTTATTTATTTATCTGAGAGAATGGGAGACAGAGAGCATGAGAGGGGAAGGGTCAGAGGGAGAAGCAGACCCCCCGCTGAGCAGGGAGCCCGATGTGGGACTCAATCCCGGGACTCCAGAATCATGACCTGAGCCGAAGGCAGTTGCTTAACCAACTGAGCCACCCAGGCGCCCCAACACAGTGCTTCTATCTTAACAAGTGGTTGTCTATGGTTAAAGGGCTTCCTGATTAGTAACCAGCTATAAATCTAATTTCCTGTTGTGTTAGTGGACCTGAATGCTCTGCATAGTATTTTACTAAAGGTGGAGAAATTAGACGTAATTTTAGATTTTTTCCCCACTGTTTATTGTCATGAATGTGTCAGCATGCCCCCTGTGGTTTGTAATGTGCTTGAACACACACAGGGCACATCCGGATCTCAGACCTGGGTTTAGCTACGGAGATCCCGGAAGGGGGGACCATCCGAGGAAGAGTGGGTACCGTCGGCTACATGGGTATGTGAACGGCTACTTCCAGATCCCTGTGCTTTCTCTCTGAATGCTCGCGTCCTCACAGCGCAGAGAAGTTCTAAGCCAGTTGGAGGGAGCACGGGTGGTGTTGGAAGTCTGTACGCGGCCAGTGTTGGGACCACGGAGGAGTCCTCCTGTCTGCCCTCCTGTCTTACAGAGACCGGGGGTGAGGCTGGCAGAGGTTCTGCAGCTGCATGAGGGTAGAATCAGGGCAGGACGGGGCCCTCACTCTGCTGCTGCCACCATCCTGGGCACGCTGGCCTCTCCGGGCCCTCGCGAACTCGTGGTTCCCTGGTTATTGCAAAGCCTCTGTGACTGGGAGGCCCTGGCCTGGGGTCAGCTCCCCACCCGGCAGTGCCAGCCTGACCCTGGCGTGGCCTCTGACGTGAGGGACCCCGAGGGCCATGTCTGCAGTCACCTGCTGCAGGGGTCAGTGCCCTTGGGGTGCCCGTGGGTGTGGCTCTGCCTGTCTGAGGGAGCACCCTCCTCAGGAGGCAGGGTCTTCCCTAGAGGACCAGTTCCCTGTGTGTGTTAACTCTGTGGCTGCTCATTTCGTGCCCTGGGGATAGCACAGACTGTTTTCAGTGACCCATTTGTTGAAATGTAAGTCACATACCATAAAATCCACCACTCCCAAGTGTACACTCGAGTGGATTTCAGCACGCGCACAGAGCTGTGTAACCACCACCACCAGAAAGAGACCCCGGGCCCATCAGCACCCCTCCAGCCCCGGTCCGGCGGCTGCTCGCCCACTTTCTGTCTCCATGGACTTGTCTCTTCTGCTCGCTCCATATAAATAGGATCACACGCTCTTGGGCTTTCTGTGTCTGTCTTCTGCCCCTTAACACATTTCCAGGGTTCATGTTGTAACAAACATTAAGTTTATAATGTGTTATTTGGAATTAATTACCAGAAAATTAAAAAACCAAAATTTAACTTAAATTTCCCTGTATTTGTTATGTAGCTCCTGAAGTTATCAATAATGAACACTATACATTTAGTCCTGATTGGTGGGGACTTGGCTGTCTGATATATGAAATGATTGAGGGACATTCTCCATTCAGAAAATTCAAAGAGAAAGTCAAGCGAGAGGAGGTGGACCAAAGAGTGAGGAAGGATACCGAGCAGTATTCGGAGAAGTTTTCGGAGGACGCCAAGTCTCTCTGCAAGATGGTGGGTCGGGCTCTGGGGAGGTTGGGGTGGAACCCCAGCTTACTGGGGTTGTTTCCACTAGCAGTCTCCCCACCACACAGCCTCCAGTAGGGAGAGGGCCACGCATCCTGGCCTCGCCTGGGAAGTGACGTGATTGGGCTTCCAACCCGTGGGAGCAAAGCAGAGCAGTGCCTTGTTAGATTTCTCAAAAGGTGCCCCTGAGAGGGAAGAGTGGTGCCAAGGTCACTCATTTCCTGTGAAACTAAAGATCAAAGAGAACCTTGTTTCTTAGGAACAATGAGGTTTTTCTGTCTGCCCATGTTTCTTTCCTCTTTAACTGGCTGCCGGGGATCGTGTCACGATAGACACCCCGACTTGATGGGCCGCCACGTGTCTGCCACCTTCCTGGATGCGTTAAGGGGCCCACGAGGCTGCGTGTCACAGAGGGGAGAAGACAAGAGGACAGAGACTGCGGGGCTAGGGGCAGGCAGGGCAGTGGTTGAACTGTGGGGGGTGGAATCGCGGTGGGTTACGGGAGGATGAGGAAGGGGGGCTCAGGGCAAAGTCAGGAGGCTGGAGGCAAAGGTGTGAGCACTGCTTGTTGGAGCCATGGCCCCTCTCGCCAGACCTGGAAAGTCTGGGAGGGCACGGAGAGGAAAGCAGGGCTGGCTAGTCATGAAGAGTCGAGGGGGAGAGTGGCGGGGGTGGGGATGGAGGCCACAGAGAGGCGGGCCGTGGGTCCCCAAGTGGGTGCCTGCCGGAACCAGCAGCCGCCGTACCCCTTACTGAAAACGGCAGTAACTTAGGTGAGCTGTCGGTGGCTGGAGATACTGATTCTGTTTCCCTTTCCCTGTTGTTGCCATATGTGGAGTGAGGCGTGTTAGTGGCCTGTCCCAAGCAGTGGGACCAGGCTGGCCTTTCCTCCCGCCAGCTCATTCTGCGTGGAGCTGGCCGTGGTTAGCCAGCCCCTCCGGGGTTAACAGCGTTCTGGCCTAGCTGCTATTTGACCAGGTGCTTGCCACCCGCCAGACACTCTGATAAGGGCTGCAGGAATGTAAAGATGTAAGTTGGAAGTAGAGCTTGCCCCTAAGGAGCTCACAGTTCAATGGCAGGCCTAGAACAAACATGAAAAATAACTATGGTGAAAAAGCAGAATTTGATGGGTGCCATTAACAAGAGAGAAACAAGGGCTCCAGGGTTTTCAGGATGGAGAGATGCTGTGTTCTGGTAAGGGTACTGGGGAAGGCAGGTGTCTGAGTGAGAACCAGGGTTGGGCCTCAGAGCTCGGGGGCCACACCTCAGCTCCCCGCACTGGGCTTCCCTGTCTTCCCTGTCAGGCCTCTGCTTTCTTGTCTCTGGCGTGTGCATGGTGATAGCCTCGCCCTCACAGGCTCGCCGGGAAGGGGCGATGCAGGAATGCGTGTGACCGGCCTGGTGACGCACAAATCCTCAGGAGCTCCTGCGAGCGGAGACATCTGGTTCTTGGAGAGTTGGTTCAACCCCGGCAGACGGGGACTGGAGGAGAGGGCATCTCCGGAGGCAGGGGGCATCTGCAGAGGACAGCACCAGTGGGGACAGGGACGGTGGGCCGGGCCCTGTGCCCAGTGCCCTTGCAGAGGGGGTGCTGCAGGCTTGTGCATGGCTCCTTGCCCTCTCTGCCTCTCCTCTGCCCGGCGCCTGCTCCCAGCACGCTGCACCCATGCTGAATGAGTGAGCAGACGTGGAGTGAGGTCAGTGTTGTACTTGTGTTGGACAGAGCAGAAGGAAGGGCTGAGGAAAAGCCGGCTGTTTACACCGGCCCAAACAGGCGGCCAGGGCAGCGCCTGACATGTGGACACCTGTCTGCAGTTTTGAAAGCTCTTTGATATATTAATCTTATCTGACCCTCAGAGTGGACTTCTAAGGGGTTTTCTTAGCCTCACAGTTGAAAAATTAGGAGTTTGATTTTAAAAAAAGATTTTATTTATTTATTTTTAAAGATTTTATTTATTTACTTGAGAGAGAGAATGAGAGAG